TCGAGTGACATGGGAGGCCTTCCTTTGGGATTTTGAGCAAAAGAGTGATTTGCTCTGATTTATGCTATAACAGGATATCCTGGTTGTTGTGTAGGGAATGATTGTGGGGGCTGGTTTGAGGTGAGCCAGGGTCAGTTAATGAGGAGGCAGTTACAGAAATGTAGGCTTAGGGTGTTGGTGGCCGGGAGAGGGCAGTTGCAGTAGAAGGTTAGACGAAAATTGTGAGGGAAAGGAAAATTCCAGGCTGATCTAGAAAAAAGAAGAGGTGAACTTTCTCCATTTGGGAAATTGCAGGGATGTTTCCTAAAGCAGGTACCATTTAAGTGGAATCTTAAAGGGGCACTGAAAACTCCAAGCTCACTGCCACTGAGTTGCTTCCCTGTCAGCGTCACGCTGTCAGGCAGGCGAGAGGTGCTCCTGTAGGCTTCTGAGACTGCCGCTTTTACTGGAGCGGAAAGTCTCGTCGTTCGCGCTAAGGGTGGTGGGTGGCTTGGAATTGCTAACCGTGTGATGAGCAGCCCCATGGGTAACCCACCACGCCAACTGAGGCACCGGAAAAGTGAAAGCACCAAATGGGACAGATAAAGGTGGGCTAGGGTGATCTAGGTGGAGGAAGTAGCTTGGGCAGAGGGCACACAGAGAAAATTGAAGACATGATGTGTTTTGAGGAATTGCAAGTTTTGAGGAATTGCAAGCAGTGGACGGAGGAACGACTGTGGGCGCCTGACACCGGTGAGTATTGAGTGGTAACCAGTCTTCAGATCCTACTTGAGAGCTCACTATTTATTTAACAACCTGGAGTTCTGCCAAGTCAGTTTTGAAAAAGAAGTAGTCAAATTGGATTAACTTCAAGCAAGATTCACTTGGCTAATACGGGGGCTACAAAGTGGATATGCATTGGGGGACGAGGGAGTATTTTAATCTCTGTGGTCTCAATCCTCAATAGCCCTGGCTCCTTCACTCCGTAAGGCAGTGATTCTCAATGTTCCTAATGCCGCGACTCTTTAATATAGTTCCTCATGATGTGGTGTCCCCCAACCATAAAATTGCTACTTCACAACTGTAATTTTGCTACTGTTATGAATTGGGTGACCCCCAAACAGCTGCTTTAAGGACTAGAGCATTTAGGAATCAGCTACAGCTACTGCTTGTCAGAATAATCACGGAGTAAATAATTCCCTAACTACAATCAGATGGCCAGTAGAGGACTTTTCCAGTCTAATGAACCAAGATTGATTCTGTGTCTGCAATTCAGTGCTTACTCCTGTGCCCGGTCCACTGCCTCAATATTCACGTTGGAAAAACAGATATTTCAGAAAAAAATGGAAAATAAATGTTTTTCACTAGCTAGAGAAAAAACCCCACAGTATGTTAAGGCAGTAACATAGCATACAGGTTACAATCTGTTACCAGTTTCCAAGTTAAGTAAACACACACACTATATGTACATATATAGTAACTATATATATAGTTGCTATCGATTGAATCACCATATATAGTTACTATATATAGTTACTAAAATTCTGAATTTGCATTCTATTTTGTTTAATTATTTGTATTTTCTTCCTAGCAGAGTGCTAAAGTTTTATAGTACAACTCCCCTGTTAATTTTTAATGTACATATTTAGCTAATCCAGTATCTTGATATCTACCCATAGTTTTGCATTTTCTTGCCCAATTCTCACTGCTAAGAACTCTTTATGCTGTGACTGATCTAAATTCCCTCGCTCTTCTGTAGATTAAATCCGTTCTTTGTCCTTCCTAGTCTCTCAAGAGATGTAGAATGATGGGTAATGTCTAACAGACTGAGAAGGCTAAAATAGCACTAGTTAGGTCTGGACAGTCAAACCAAATTGTACAATTGAAGTCCATGATTGAACAAGACATATAAAAAGAAAATACTTTTGTTTTATTTATTCAAGTAATGGCCTTATTTCTTCACTTTTTTTTTTTTTTTACCACCTGGGACCCAACAGTCAGTGGAATAAAAGAAAAATGTTTCATTACGCAAAGCACATTTCAAGGGCTTCTCAAATATCACAGTCCCTTTCTTTTAGCTGTTTCTGTGTAGATCTGCTTGCATATTTGAATTTTAAGGAGTAAAAATGAAACCCACACAGCACAGTTATAGATGTTGTGAAAAGGCTGCACGATCACCCGGGGATATTTTGAAGGGTCTGGGCATGCGCTGTGTCTCATTCATCTTGAAGAATTACGTGCGTTGTAGATGAGCTTGAGACATCGCTGCTCTTTTGTTCTGGAGCAGTGCTTGCTATTCACGAGGACTCAGGCATGTTTTAACCATATTCTTCTCTACGGATTCTGGGCTTATTCTCGTTTTCTGCAGATGTCAAGTGGGTACTGATCCCCAAACCCGAAATGAATGCTGACTGATTATGATGCTTATATGTTTTGTTATTTTTACATAGGACATCCCTGTGAGTGTACAGGACATAAAAAAGTTTAATCTTTACCACTTTCATTAGTCTTTCTAATGGTAAGATGTAGTTATCAATTAACTGAAGACGAGATAATTGTTTTCTGCTACTTTTCGTTCATCTGGGGATGATGAAGGTAAAAGCAATCTGTGCCAAAGGTAGGCGGACAATAATCATGCTTATTTCCAAGGCTCCCGTAGGGGGTGGCATTCTGGAACAGGTGCCAAGGTCACATGTTCCTGCTCGGTGCCACTGGTAACTTTGCAGAGGCCACTCGACTTCTGAACAGGAGAACTGTTCAGAACTGCCATTGCTCCAAATAGGAGTCCATAGGATGACGTGAACATAAAAACTTTTGTGTCTGCAATGATATATATTTTTTAGAAAGATAAAATGTTTTATTTCAAAATTCTGGGGAAGGCTTAAAAGATAAATGTCCATTATATAAAAGTTTTAAATATATGGAAATTATAAATCTTCCCAAATGTGCTACCACTACAAAAGAGCTAAATATTGCAAGTTACCCTACCATATTTTTTTCTGTATAACCAATAATACTTGATATGATGACCCTACTAAATTATCACCTTAGGGTTCAACTTAGTTACACATGTAACAATTTTGTTGAAGAGTAAGTTAAATGAAATGCTCTGGGCAAACAAGATGGAGCCTTGTTTGCTAACCCACTGGCACACTGGGTTATGAATTGAGTTGCTAACCAAATAGACTCAATGGTAGTGGGTGCAAATGGCAATGATGACCCCTTGGCATGCAAGCTTTTTAGCAATTTAGATAAGAGAAAATATTTTATTACTGTAATGTTTTCAGCATCAATGATCTTGTTATGACCAATAATATTACTTACCCTTTTGTGGTTTGGAATTATGCTCCAGTCTCCAGAACCAGTAATTTAATGAGTAGATTCTGCAAGCTTCAAGATGTTGTGCTTTTTTATTAGCAATGCATTAAAGCACTATATTATATTCAGAAATATTGATGGTATTAAGAAATAATAACAAAACCACTTCAAGTGCACCTTTGTATGTTCACTGCTGTATTAGAATTATTTTCACCCATCTTCAAGTTGCTTATACTTAGGCTCATAGATAACCAAGTCTCATTTCATAAGATTATATGAAAAGAAAAAAATCCACAACTCTAAATACCCCCATGGAAATGTTTCTGTATAGCAGAAATGCCTGGAAATCACTGAAGTCTGGATCTTATCCCTCCACCACCATCCCCCCGATTAGGCTCAGGGAAAGCAGTGCCTTTTTTCTCCCACCCACTGTGAAAGTTATGAGATTCTTTTGCTTAAATCACCCACAAGGAAGGCTCGGAAGTTCATGTTCCTTAGACACAGTTACCAATTCTGTTAAAGAAGACTAAATACCCATATCGCACGTGCCATATCCTGCAGCGAACAACAGGGGAGAGAATGGCGCATGGCCCACATTGAGAGTCTACCACAGTGGGGCCATCTGTCCAGCCGAGAGAGTCTTTCATTTCCAGTGTTCTGGCCAAGACAATCGCTCAAAGATTAGTAAGAACATCACAGACCCAGACAATTGTATCTTTGCTCATTGATTTATTAGTTTGGAGCTTTTCATATGGTCCTGAAATAATGATTTCAGGGTTGGGGAATGTGTTTTTGATTCCTCCTAAGATACACATACACAAATGGTATGTATATGTGGCATATCTATATCTATCTATATCTATCTATATCTATCTATCTATCTATCATCTATCTATCATCTATCTATCTATCTATCTCAAGGAATCAAACATCTACCTGTCCTGGTGGCACTGTCGGGTAAGCATTTGACTGCTAATCACGAGGTTGGTGGTTCAAACCCCACCTGCTACTCCATAGGAGAAAGATGAAGCTTATGCTCCATTAAAGATTTACAGCCTTGGGAACACGGTGTGAGGGCATATATGCAATACCGATATATTTGGGAATACATATCGCAGAGACTTGGATATCTGCCACTGCCATTAAGTCCATTCTGACGCATAGTCACCCTACAGGACAGAGTAGAACTGCCCCCTGGGGTTTGTGAGGCTGTAAATCTTTGCTGGAGTAGAAAATCTTATCTTGCTCGCTCAGAACGGCTGGTGGGGTTGAAGTGGTGAATTTGGAGAAGGACATCGTCTCAGTAGAGGGGCATTGAAAATGATGCAGATCATCAACATGATCAATTGACACAGGGACTGTAACAATAGGCACAGACATACGAGGCTGGCACAAGATGAGGCGGTGTTTCCCTCTGTCATACACAGGGTCACTATGAGTCAGAATGGACTCGCTGCACCTCACAACAACAGATTTGGATAGATGCATGTATACCAACAATACATATGTATTTGGGGACATACATGGAGAGAGCCCAATGGAATTTTTGTGGCATTTGCGATGAATGCAGACTGGTGCAAAAAATGCAGGCTTGTCATTTTTTGTGGTTATTCTCAAGGTTGGCTCAGGCGTCAAACAGACCCAGTAATATACATATGCTCACCAGTCTGCGCCCTAAGAGGCAATGAAGGCCGATGACTTACCTGTGAAGTTGATTTTCAGCAAGTACTCTTTGTACAACTTCCTCCCATCGAGGAGCTTCATGGCGTCACAGAGCTTGGTGGTGTTGGGACAGAGGGCGCGTTGCATTTTGTGCAGGGCGTGGGCCATGGCATACACCGCGTTCACCACAAACATGATCTTGGATTCCTGCTCGTAGTTGCTGCTGTCGATGGCCAGGTGCTTGTCGCAGGGCCGCCGGTGGCTGTGCTTGTTCTGCAGGCTGCACTGGAACTTCTGCTCCCAGAAGTCCTGGAACCAGGGGTTGCGGTGGTTACTGGCGGGGTTGAGCCCCTGGAAGTAGCGGTCGAACTGGCGGACGGGCTGCGAGGCCAGCTCCAGGGTGATGGCGCCGTAGGCCACGTGCTCACTGCCCTTGACGATGCTCTCCTGCGCGCCCCAGCCGTCGCTGGCCACCCAGGTGAAGGAGGCGTTGGCGCGGCTGGCGGCGGCGATGAGCTCACGGGAGTCGTCGCCCCGCATGAAGAGGACCACGACCCGCGCGTTGGGCTTCTGTAGCAGCTCCCGGATGACGCTGTCGTAGGACTTGCGGATGTTGGAGCGGCCCACCTTCTCGGCCGTGGCGATGCAGATGTTGCGCACGCGGGCTTCCTGCTCGAAGGCTTCGATGCCGGTTTCCCCGTAGTCCCCCTCAGAGGCCACGGTGGACACGTAGGTCCAATTGAAGAATCGCAGGATCTCGGCCATGGCCTTGGCCTGGTAGAAGTCGGGGGGCACGGTCCTAGCAAAGTAATCATAGCGAGACTTGTCGCTGAGCTTGGCACTGGTGGACGCGTAGCTTATCTGCGGGATCTGGAAGAGCCGGAGCAGGTTTGCCACCTGGGGAGGGAGAGCAGGGACGGGGTGTCTTTAGAATCTCAGACGTAAATCATTGGAGATGAAAAATGAATCACGTTCTACTTTATGCCCCAGGGTTTCTTCTCCCTCAACTCTTTATCTCTAAACCTGTGTGACTCTTTTTCTTTTTTACCTCTACTTGCTTAGTTTTACATTTATTGTGAATCGGGTGAAGGCTTACTGAGTTTTAGACTCGACGGTTCATCTGCATTTTGCTTCATTTCGTTCCTCGCAATCCGCTCAACTCAACCCCATTCATCCCATCTCCCCCTGTGATTCCCATGGACCCTTCTGAACTTGGTCCTTGGGAAACATGCTGCTCCTTTGACCTCAAATGGTTGATTATTCTAAGGGGTGAGCCCATCACTGTTATTGTCCTTATAAACCTGGGTATTGTTTCACTGAAAATTGTTCGGTGTGCGTGTTGGGGGTGGGGAGGGTGCGGCACAGTGGGGGAGGTGGTGCGGGGACTTGAGCTCCTGTTTTTCTATAGCTGTTCTTGAGCTGTTTCCTGGGGTACCATATTTCCAGCATTTGGGAACAGGTTGAAACCGGTTGCTTTGGGGAAAAGTATAGTTGAGAAATGAGAAGGGGGCCTCTTGCTTCCCTCCAAACTTTATGAATAAAGTTTATCCCAGATCCAGTTCAGGTGTCTGTGGTAAGGCTGTTTGGCTGATGACTTACTGGGTCCTACCTAGCTTGTCAAGATACACACCGGATGGCACCAAGAACAACAACAAACAACTCATCCGAGGAGGACACTGAGATTGGCTTGTCACTTGCCCAAGGTGTCACAGATTATAAATAGAAATGTTACTTGCTCTTCATCTCTCAGACTACATAAAAAGAAAAAAAGATGGCACAAACTTGTCCTAATGCATTCCTCAAATAGGAACACATCAAAGTATACAACTAAATGGGTTTGCCTTCAACGCTGATATATATTTAACCTTTATCTTCTATCAAAAACACAGATTATGTTAAATGTATTGCCGATTTATTGTGTCAACCTTTGTCTATCTTAAATGCTGAATTTATAAAGGATAAATCTGTAACCAGGTCTACATTTAATTGTTTATTTTGCTGTATATATTGAATTAAATGGAAAGAACTGTCAAAAACACACAAACAAATAAAAGTGAACTACAATGAATTAGTCAAATTCCTTTTTCAGACATGTTGGCTGCTGCTGTATTAAAAGAGTCTGAGTCTTATCAGATTCTCATTTCCTCATTTTTTGCTAAAAATGATAATTTCAGAAAGCTTTTAAATTGGAAACTGTATGCCCCATGGACAGTCCAAGTTAGACATTTATTATCTAGGTCAAGAAAAAACAAAACCAAAACAATCAAACAATTAAAAAAAAACAAAAAAAACCCTGAAACTCTACCTGGTCCACTCCAACTATGAGTTGTACACTTGCCTAAACAGAAAAGCTTGACAAACATTTCCCCTTCATCAATTAAAAAAAATTGTATACAAATGTTACTCTTATGATATTTTTGACTGCGATCTTTTGAAAAAAGAAACACCTGCTTAAAATCTTCAAAGCTTATTCGATTCAAAATTTAAAATGTCTTGTAATTTTCTTCTCAATATTTTACTGTTTTATTTACTATAGAACAAAAACAGAAAAAGTGAAGTCAGATTTTTAAAGATCAGCTTATGCATAATTAACGGTATCTGCATAATTATGTTTATAGAAATCTATTTCTATCCAGACTTTAGTTCAATTATATAATGTACTAAATTTAATCAAGAACTGCACTGAAACATTCCAATTCCAATTCCAAGTGTTTTGAAATTTTCTTTCTGGAAATTGTGGCCTCAGGTTGATGTGCGACATGTCACAAGCACAGCTTGAAATAAGCAGCTGTTAGCTAAGAGCACAAGCAACATAAAACAACTGACATCTGAATCCCAATTAATCATCATTTCATCTGGCAATGACACTAACAGCCAGGTGCACACACAGCCACACAGCATGTTCGCGGAGATCTGGTCTGCTATTGAAACCAACACTTGATGTAGGCCAGAGCCATCAAAAAGTGTTTTCTGTAATTTTTAAAATCTTCCTGCCTCTTACTTAATCACAAGGGGAATAGGCCATAAACCTGGCACTCAACGCACCGTGTAGTGCAAATTGAGAGCCCAAAGCTTCCTTCTGTTTGGTAGAGACCCTTTATGTTCTAAGGTATGGGGGTTTGGGTGGGAGTGGGAGTAGATGAAGTCTAGATAGAAGAGAGTATCTCTTTTCTTGGAACTAGAAGATCCTGGACAAAACCGCTCTAACTGAGTCACGTGAACATAAATAGATCGCTTGTTTCCTCAGCCTGATTGAGCTGGTACTGTCATGACTTGTAGAATAAATACTTGTCTTCTTTTGGATGTATGTACCACTGTGCCAGGCTGGGTGATAAAAGTCCTGCATGCACTGGCATGGCTTGGCTATGGAGTTTCTGCGTAGAACTGGAGCTGCTGTATCTTTTCGATACTGTTGTCTCATCTTCCAGCTTGATGCATCAGCGCCTGGATCCCCCAGGGAGAAGACAATGAAAGAATCCGAAAAGGGCCCAGAGACACACTTTTCTGGTAGTGAGGCACCACAGTGAAAGGATCCTAAAATCCTAAACGGTTGGAACTTTCCTCTCCCAGAGGGGTAGGAGTAATGAGAGGTTGCGCAGGACAAACACAAAACAAAACATTTTTGTTTGTTGACTGACAGGATCCTGTGGCTTCAAGTCTACCTCTCCAGGACGCCTAGAACAATTTACAAACAAGGCAGACTGGGCTGGAGAAGGAGGATGCATAGAATGATGGCAGTATGGAAAAGATTCTCTGCTCCAAGAAGAAGCGAGCACACAATGAGCTGTGGACCGCGTGTGAAGAGGGCGGGCTAGACTAAGAGTGGTTATTGCACCCATTTAAGGATGGGTCCCCCAAATGAAAGTAGTAACTACGGATAGTGACATCTATCGCTCAGTGAGTGTGTTCACTGAGAAGACAGCAACCTACTCCAGGAAAAGGAAGACACATTGCGAGGTGAAACAGGAGAATGTAACACTAATAAGCAGGCAGTAAAAGCTCCCTCGTATTCGCTCTGCTGACTTCCTTTGTCCCGCCCTTCAAGCTGAGTTGTGTGTCCATTTACTAACTCCTCTCTCTATTTCTATCATGACACAAATCAAACTATGTGCTGATTTCTCGGTTACTCATGAATTCCGTTGCTGGAGCAATCGCTTTTACGACAGGGAATGTGTTTCATGAATCTCTATTCCTGATATGGAGTAGGCTAGAAGGCACCCTGTCTTGTTTGTTAAATTCATGAATTGACAGCTTGCTGCTCTACCTCACATGGTTTTCCATTTCAAGGGTAGATTTCTGTGCAAGAGGAAATCTGGCTACTAACAGTCAAGTCTACATTTTGTTTTACACTCTGAAACATTCTGATAGGCAATTTGCTGTGCAAATCCTTCATTAGTCATATGGCCCAAGGAAGTGACACATAAACCAAAACATTGGTGTAGATCTCTGGGAATCAGGAGCCAAGGTTTTTATACCTTTAAAGCCAATTTTTCGAGATTATCTCTGTGTTCACTGCAAAAACGCATAACTTGGAGGAAGTCAATATTATATCAATTGTATCTAGCTCTAAAATCGTCCTTTTGCAATAAGGAAAAACAAATAAGGGCCTTAATCATGATCCCTTCGTACTCAAACTATTTGGTTGGTCTTATTGATATAGATGGTGTGAACTGAGAATTGTGTTCCCCTCCAGATATATGCTGAAGTCCTAACCTCTGTACTTGTACATGTGATCCTGCTTTGGCAATAGAGGGGTTTCTTTTGTTAATGAGGCCATGTCAGTGTAGCCTGGATGCTAATCACTTTGAAGTTATAAAAAGACCAGAATAAACAGAGACACACACAGAGGAAAGAGAAAGACAGATGATACAGACAGGTGTATCTATAAGCCCAGGATCCCTAAGGATTCCTAGCCATCACTAGATGCTGAAACAGACACAAAAGAACCTTCCCCTAGCGCTAAGCACTGAATTCATACTTGTAGCATCCTGGACTGTGAAAAAGAAAACTTTTTTTTTTAGTTTGATGTTCAAAGCCACATGGCATTTCTGGTGTGGTGGACTTGATGACGAAGACAAGCAGCTTCACCAAAGGAACTAGTACTAAGGTTTGCTGGTCTGAAAAAAGGCTTTGTTTTGTTTGAAGACAAATGTATTATTTATAAGGCATAAAAGCAGCCAAACATCACATCAGCAGCTACCTTGTTATTGGTTCTGCTTTGCAAATGCCTATAAAACTTTTATCGTTCCCGCTATCAATCGCTGATTTTAGACTATAGGCAGCCAAATTATCCTCTCTTGATGAGAATTTTGAGTTAAAAAAGTATTTATTTGGAAACGTTTTTCTTCCGAAAATGTTTAGCCCATCATGGTGACTCTTTTTTCAGGATTTCAGGTGTCATTCATCTTTCAAATGCTGCCCTGATCACAGGAGCTCAGAAGGACGGGCTGTGGAAAAGGCCTCAGGTCGTCCATTCGTTTTTGGAACTTCCATAAAAAGAGAACTCAGAGAGGGAATTTCTGAATCTCTTGGTGAGTTTCCACATCAGTGCTATGGTCATGTGGGGCCAGGCACACAATATCCACAATGCGCTTACTTCAAATGTGAAATCCGCCCCTCCTGTGATGACACACTGCCACGTTTCCCCATAACACAGAAGACAAGAAGCACGATGCAAGTTCAGAGTCTAGAGTTCAACACTAGTGTGACTGATCGTTTACCTTGAGGAGGCTTTTCAAAACTCAAAGGCATTGGCTTCCGAATCTGTAGTAAAGACTGAGTTTTAGTTACATTAAAATGAACAGCACTAACTGGTTTTTCTGTAGAGCTATGATTATCCAAGGACTCCTGCTGTGTCAGTGATTAAAACACTCTACTTCAATCAAAAAGGTTGATGG